ATCTTTCTGCGGACAAGACAAACAAAGCTAAAACATGCCCAAGTACAACTATTGCACCAGCTCATGGTATATTGTTAGCAAAGGAAACCAAAACCTTGATAAACGAGGCCCATATGGTGCGACAACGCATTAATTATAACTTGATGTCTCTTCTTACTGTTTATGATCAGTCCTATTGTGGAAATTTCACAAAAATTAGGAGTTGGTTGGAAAAGAAATTAAATATTATACCTCTAAGGATCCTCTTGGAAGTCGAAATCGTAAACCTCGAAGTATATGGGGAGACATAGCGGGGGTATTTGGCTCTGTCAATTCAATTAGTAATACTGCTCAGATGAACCAATTAAGTGAGTACTCTCAGTGGGTGGGAACAATGACCGGAAAAGGACTTAGTGAGGCTCTTCAAGGTTCTCTACATATTATAGCAGCGGGTCAGCATCTTAATGACGCAGCGAGGGAATTGGCAGATGCATTAGTGAAATCGTCTAATTTTGAGACACATCGTGCAGCGTGTTTATTTTTGGCTCAGAATTTGAAGGATCAAATGGTAGAGGATATTCAGGTTATTCGAATGGGTCAAGTTCCTGAGCGAATAGCGGAATCTTTGTTACTGGTTTTCGGAAATCAACTTAATTTGACTTCTGCTAAACATGCTAGTTAAAATCGCAATTAGTTAAGATTCGTTGTCAGGTTCTGGAACATTACCTTTGATTATGGTCTGGCCTCAATATGGGAAACGCAATATTATGACAGTTAGACGATTCCAATCAATGGGGGTTAGACAAGGAAATTCAGTAATTAGATTGGGAAGGAATGGATATTGGGCTGAAGGTGAAACACCAATGATTTCTACTACAGACTGTTGTGTTGAGGAACATGAGTGGGTAATTTGCTCATGCTCTACAATGTTTAGTCTGTCTCTTAATGGATCTGCAGTTTGGGAAGTAGTTCCTTTAGATCAAGCCACAGGTGCATGGCAGGTGTCAGAAGCACAGTGGTGTTTATTACATGACGGAATAAATGAAAATATGATATACGGAGGAAAGTTATGTCCATTCCTTCTGATCCATTTTGCGTTGAGATTCTCTATCCTCTTCAATTGGGTGGAATTCATGTTCCACATGTACAATTGTTGCAGTTAGATCCACAGTGGTGGAATAATGATTTGGTGGAAGAGAGGAATTATGAACTCTTTGAAATGGTTAAGAGAGTTAAAGCAAGCGTTAAGGCAGCTCAAGAGGAGGGAATTCAAGCAATGGGTCATGTTATCGTAGCGAATGAAGTAGCTAAATTGATGTCTGAGAGGAAATTTAGCTTTAAAATTAGCTTGAATTTAACATGGTCGGAATGGATAGTTTTGACTATGGTAGGAGTTTTTGTGTTTCTGTTAGTAATAAAACTTATCATATATGTTATAAGAAAGAGAAGAAACCTTTCAGATTGGTTATTACTAACAAAATGGATAGAACCGAGAATGGGAAATACGGAGTGAGATAGGAGATTTTATACACTACACTACTTACAAAACACAACCTCACAAACAATGAACACCCGCTTACTGATTTACAACCCCAAGGGATAGGACCCTTTAACATCAATGTTTATTTTGGTTGTTATGTTAGCACGGAACTGGAGGATTTAATTAATTAACGAGTTGACGAGTTAATTAATTAATGAGTCCAAGCACGGGCAGAAGACTTTTTTAGTTTTTCTTTTCTTAGATGATTGGGGTTCATTTAAATGCTTACACATAGATGTTAAATGACACATAGCATGCGGGCACATAACATGGGTTGGGTTTTTGTTTGTTATTTGTTTTGTTTTCTTTTCTGTTTCCATTCTTTTGTTCTTTTATGTCTATGTCTTGGTCTACTATTTCTCCTCACCACTATCCAACCCAGTCTCACGGCAGTTCGTGATATAGTCACGAAATTTAATCTATTGATTCGTGTTCGTGGACACGAATTTCCCTTTTTTTTCGTGTCACTCAGCACGACTTTCAGTCCAATGTATTTCAATGGGACATATTTTTCGTGCCTGCAACACGTTTTTCTTTCGAGAGCACAGTATTGTTTTTTCTCAATTCTTATTCATTTTGCAAACTTTAAGGGTAGCCTACACTACCAACATTTAATCAGAAGGTTTTAATCCTTGTTTTTATTGCGTTATTTTCGCTAGGCTAATACGCAACATGAATGATGATCGTGTCCACGAGCGCGAATTTTCTTCTTTTTCTTCGTGTCACTCAGCTTTCAATCCAATGTATTTCAATATGGGACATATTTTTCGTGCCTTTTGCGAACTTTATGGGTAGGCCTACACTACCAACATTTAATCAGGAGATATGAATCCTTGTTTTTATTGCTTTATATTCGGTAGGCTACGCAACATGAATCAAATGAAGATTCGTGTCCATGGGCACGAATTTCCTTCTTCTTTTTTTCGTGTTACTCAGCACGACTTTCAGTCCAATGTATTTCAATGGGACATATTTTTCGTGCGTACATCACGTTTTTCTTTCGAGAGCACAGTATTGTTTTGTTTTTTCTCAATTCTTATTCGTTTTGCAAACTTCAAGGGTAGACTACACGAGGCCCAACAATTAATAAGAAGATTTTAATCCTTGTTTTTATTGCTTTATATTCGGTGGGCTACGCAACATGAATCAAATGATGGATCGTGTCTGGGGGCACGAATTTCCTTCTTTTTTTCGTGTCACTCAGCACGACTTTCAATCCAATGTATTTCAATGGGACATACTTTTCGTGCCTGTACCACGTTTTTCTTTCGAGAGGATTTTTCTCCTCAATTTTTATTAATTTTGCAAACTTCAAGGGTACACTGCTTTACCGACAATTAATACGAATATTTTAGTCCTTGTTTTTATTGATTTATATTCGGTGGGCTACGCAACATGAATCAAATGATGATCGTGTCCACGGGCACGAATTTCCTTATTTTTTTTTCGTGTCACTCAGCACGACTTTCAATCTAATGTATTTCAATGGGACATATTTTTCGTGCCTGTACCACGTTTCTCTTTCGAGAGCACAGTATTTTTTTTTTGTTTGTTTGTTTGTTTGTTTTTTTTCCAATTCTTATTAATTTTGCAAACTTTAAGGGTAGACTACACTAGGCCCTACCAACAATTAAATAAGAAGATTTTAATCCTTGTTTATTGCTTTATATTCGGTGGGCTACGCAATCAAATGATGATTCGTGTCTACGAGCACGAATTTCCTTCTTTTTTTCGTGTCAATCAGCACGACTTTCAATCCAATGTATTTCAATGGGACGTATTTTTCGTGCCTACACCACGTTTTTCTTTCGATATAGCAGCACAGTATTGTTTTTTCTCAATTGTTATTCATTGTGCAAACTGGGCTACATTACTCAACATTTATTCAGACGATTTTAATTGCTTTATATTCGGTTGGCTGAAGTGATTCATGTCCTTAAGCACGAATTTCCTCCCTTTTTTTCGTGCCAGACAACACGAATTTCAAATCTGTATTTCAAAGGGACGTATTTTCCGTGCCTCACCACGTCTTTCTTTGGAACATGGTCTCACCGCTATTCGTCACTTGACAATAATATATTAAATAATAATATAATTTGGGGCTCCATTAAAATTACATTACAGGACAGTATATTTTCTATATGCTTAAAACATGCCTTGTGGGAAAATGAAGTTTTTCCCTCTCTTTTTGACATAATTTTGGACTACATTAAAACGACATAACTTAATTGCAGGACTGCATATTTGCTGTAGGCTTAAAACACGTCTTAATTTATTGTGGGATATTTTGTCGATGGTAATTCAATTTGCTATTTTTTTTTCTCCAAAAAAAAAAAAAAAAAAAAATTAGCCTACTTTTATAGAACTTTCATCCCAATACGTATTATGAAGTTGTAATAAACTGCAGAAATATTTATATTGCTTTATATAGACATATCCTTTGGCAAAGCGATGCATTCTGGGAAGTGATATGTGTTAAATGTAATGTCTACATACTCGTGTTTTATTCACTTTAACTTTTACGCTGACCACTTTAAAATTGAGCACGGATATAAAATATTAAGACTGCACTTTTTAATTGTGATTGATATTTTGGCGCAATTTTGAGCAACACGTCACTGTGTGCGACCATCGGAGAAACCATTGCCCAGCGCGATTCCACCACGGTAAGTCGCTTACAGCAGCCTGTTAAGCAAAATTAATTCAAGCATTACACGTCCAAATTAATAAAATTACGAGTTTATATATATATATAAAAACATTTTCTAGGCCTAGATCTAGGTGATATATATATATATATATATATATATATATATATATATACATACATATATGAAGAGTTCAGATGCAAAAGCCTCTAAATGCCATTTGAAATTTTCTTCTTTAATGATGATTTTTTATCAAACTTGTATATTTAAGTTCAGTAATTTCACTTAAATAACAATTAATAATATTAATTGCGCCATTAAAATAATTTTTAACAGTAGCACAGGAAGCATAGGAACAGCATGAATCTGTATTTATTTATCCTAAGCATTTATAAGAAAAAATCTATTACAGGGTACACTTTTTAAATCCTATCAACATAGCTACATAATTAACATTTTTTGTTGTTCTCCCTGCAGATCCTGTCAAACATATCACCTGTCGAACATATCTGAACCTGATTTTAAAAACCCAAAGGCACTTTTAAGAGCCAACCTCCATCTCTTCATTACTTTCTATATCTTACATTCTCTCTGTTCTCTCACTATATATATTTCTGTCTATCTTTTCAATCTTTATCTATCTCACAGTCTTTATTTATTGCTCTTTCTTTCCTCCCTGTCTGTCTTACTCTACTTGTCTGTCTTACCCATCTTTGTCAGTCTGTCTGTTTGTATCTGACTGTCTGTCTGTCTGTCTGTCTGTCTGTCAGTCTGTATATGACTGCATTGCAATGGCCACCAAGCATAAACTTGATTCAAACGATTCACACTATCAAGAGGGGAGACGCATGGCTCTGGAGCTGAAACATGAACGCATTCTAGCTGAAGCCAAGGTTAGAGTTTTTGTACACCTCAATCATTTTATAACAAACATAACAAATTAAAGTAAAATGGGATGAGTAATATGTAAGAATGATGAGTGCAGAAGATTTAATACAGGTATATTTGCATGATGCATCCTGCCATGCTCTATGACGTGTTAATTAGGGAATATAATCATAATAATAATAATAATAATAATACATGCAGTTCCATCCCCTTTGAGTTACAGAGACTTGGGGAATATATTCCCAGGCTCATTTAAGCTTTTCAACACCTTACTAACACACTATGTTGTGTTTTCCTTTCACAAGTTACCTGCCTTTTGGTTACCGTACTTTTATCAACATCAGTCTTACAAGAAATATTAACTCCAATACACAGAGAGCAGCTGATGCGAGGAAACATGTACGAGACCCTCCACACACCTCTAAAAGGGACTCTGTAGGACGTGGTAAGCCGAGGGGGAGGCGAGGAGGGCGACGCCAAGCCCCCACTACAGGTCATATCTGAATTATTTGACATTTGTTTGAATTTACTATGACAATGTTGGACCAACTCAAATGTTTGGACCAACTCAATTTAGAAATTAGAACAATGTAATTGTTTAACTCAAATTAGAACAATGTAATTGTTCATTGAGAGTTTAAAATATAAAAAGTAGATAAACCTTTCAGTGACACTATTGTAGAAGACACTACCAAGTACCTAACAAAAATATGTCTGATATCATAAAATGTTTAGTATATAGTTTGAAAAGAAGAATAAGTATAGAGTGTGATAGCCTAACTTGTTCTTATTATTATATATTTTGTTTTACAGCCACATGCCCCACTGTTGAGTGCTCCCTGTCATCCAGTGTGGAGGTTCCACTTACTGCAACCTCAACAAAACTAAATCCTCAAGAGGAATTTGGTAATTCACAGTGATGAATTTATGAATGTACAGTATAAAAAAAGTGTTCATTCTGATACTGATCAGTTGACTTTTAATTGTTCCTTATCTATAGTGAATGATCCCTTACCGCTTTATTTTTTGATTTTCTTTACAGAAAAAAATATGGAGAGGCTCTCTGATATTTTGGCGTCATGTCCTTCTGCTGCTCAGCCTCAAAGTAGCTCTGCGTCATCATGGTCTTTTCGGCAGCAGAAAGCCTCAGAGCGCTGGAAAGAAGCAAGACCATACCACCTAAAGTGCCTTATGTCAAAAGAGGCTGTTGGTCATCCCCTGTGTTGGCTTTGCAACGAGCCTGCTGTGATTAGGTTGGTTTTCATTAATACAAAACTTCAATTACCCAGAGTAGGTTTGCTGAGTGCCCTGCTTTATTGGTGAAGATACATCTCTTTTGAGATGGGTGAAGACTTGGATACCCAGATGAAAAACACATTAATGAGAAAAGTAAATCTAGGACCTTCTTGCTGTGAGGTGACAGTGCTAAACACTGATCCACTATGCAATCCATTACAATTAAATCATACTTTATAAAAGTCAAACAGCTTAACTAGAGTGTACAGTACTTTATATGAGTTATTCACCTGAAATAATGTATTATATTATTTTCTTTTCGCCCTAGGTGCAGAGAGTGTCTTCCTGAGGAGTGGTTCTGTGGGGACTGTGATGTATTGCATCACAAAAAACAGCCACTCCACAACAGGGAATGTGTGATTCGTGGTTTTTTTGAAGCCATTCCTCCGACCACATGCATCATTAAAGGGGAAGATGGATATTGCACCCATGAGCAAGGTACTTTCTCAAGAAAGCGCTTTAATTTTGTTGTTTAATGTGTGTCTGTAGACAGTTACAGATCATCTAAATTATTGGTTTTCCTTATTTTTGCCAGCTTGCATTTTGCCAACTGTAAAGGTTCCAGACTGCTCCTGTGGAGGCACAAATTTCACCATGTTACCAGGCAAACCAGTGATTTTAATTACCATCAATGGTAAAAATATTTATAATATATAATATATATGTATATTTATATATATATATAACTGAAAGAAAGACTGATGTTTTTTCTTTTTTTCTTCCACAAAAAAAAAAAAAAAGATTAGCATCTTTTCAGCATTATGTCCAGTCAACACAGCAGTGTGGAATATATTGAATTAGAAAAAAATAAATGTGGGATTATAGGAACTTGTGTAATGTCTCTCAACCATTCATAATGTGCATAATGAACTAAGTGTTGTAAAATTAAATATGTGGTAAGTGTGTATTATATTTTTAATATTTATTTTTGTTTCAAGGGCGCTTTGACTTGCATCAGCCACTGTATGAATGTCAAACATGCAAGCAGCAGTGGACCCCTGACATGAAGGACCTCCTCAGAAGTGGATATTGGCCAGCCTCCATCACCAATTCCACACTTTATACATTGGACCTCCTGAGCTCCTTTAAGGAACTCAAGATCATTTCTCCAGGATTCTCCAGACAAGCCTTTGCAAAACTGCTGGAACATCGCACTAAGTGTGGAGGAAGAGTAAGGGTAAATGTTATTTTCTATTTAAAAAAAAAAAAATCCATAAGCAGACAATATCAAAATACTATTTCATTCTATATATTTTCCAGTCTGGACCTATCAATGGCGATGCCCTGCAGCGCAGCTTCTTAGAGCTTTCTTATACTTCCTTTGAGGAAGACCAGCTCTGCTGTAGTGCTCCTTTCACCTGCCCAGCCTGCACGCCGGAAATGTTGGCAGTTTCAGCAGATGGAAACAGAAAGCTATATCGCTTTCGTCGAAACGGAAGGTGATCTTTCTTCCAGTCTTTTTATTTATTTATTTTCTTACTTCATATATTAGATGAATGGATTTTCTATTTTTCTTTCTTCCTCAGCTCTGATGATCCTGGCTTTTTTGAGGGGGTCTTTGTGGCTGAAGACAGTGCGGTGTCTACATTTGTAGACACCATACAAAAAGCAGTGAAAAATGCAAGTTGGCAAAATAGTTGTTACAATAATAAACGTAACCCCCACTTCAATTACTCCGGCCTACCAATTACAAAATCAAATTGAGAGAATGAATGCCATATATTGAATGACAGCATTGCTTTTATTTGATTTGTCATGTTTGTTTTGTGTGTCATAGACACAAGGAAGAGGCACATGTGGGGACTCCCATTGGACAGCAGCGAGGGAAACTTCCAGGAGGGCTTCAAAATTGGATGAAGAGGGGATGGAGGTTGCTGTGTGTCGCCATGGGTTCCTTTTGAAAGCCCTTAATATGTACAGGGGGGAGATATTTGCCTACCCTCTGTACCTTCAAAGGGAGCTCATGCCAGCCAAGGCACAATTCTTTGCAATGGACGTGGCATGCAAATACTGGCCATACCTGGAGAAAGTTGCTACTGTCCTTCCTGCTCTTCAGGAACTGACCACCATGAAACCCTTTCTGAGTGTGATGCATGCTCGAGCCCATGCTACTAAGTGTGAGGTGTGTATAATATTTTGGCATCATATGTACATTGGTAATATTTACAAGCACATTAATAATATGAAATATAAGTTAAGCTACAGTATATTATCTTGTCTTTTTGCATAATCATTTCTTCTATGGAATGTAATGACCTTTGATGCAAATTGTGGTTTGTGATATTGGGCTATATCAATAAAATTAAATTGAATTTCTTCCACCCTTTACTAACAGATTAATTGGAGTGGCAGGAACCAGGAAGGTGCAGGGACAACCGCTGGTGAGGAGGTGGAGCAAGTAAACAGTTACCTCTCACGTTGTGCCCTGACGACCAAATATATGTCCAAAGCAGGTGATCCGAGTTTGCAATATTCGTGTATACTATTTTTAGATTGGTCATCATAACCTCATTATTTGCTTTCAACAGCACGGGTGGACATGCTTACATTGCATGCAATGGGGTGGAATGAGAAAAAAAATCTCTCTTTACATCAGGCACTTTCCACAAGATATGTGAAGGTAAGTCTCATATTATTTTTTTGTGTCCTTTTGTTGTTTACTTGGCCTGTTGTTAATCATACATTTACATTTCCTGATTATTGTATAACACTGTTCATCAGACTTGTCAGAGACTCCATGATGAGACTGCAAGGCTAGCTGACCTAAAAACAGAACTAGATTGCACAGATGAAGTGGTATCACAGTGGCTATCTGATGTAAAGGAATGGGCAGCTGGTGGTAAGCATTACCAGATAAAAGAAAAAAACAAACATCCCTTTCTACAATCTAAGTTTGATATTAAAGAGCAGCAAAAAATAGTAGGCGGATCATCATCTAATGTGATGCCACATTTATGTCAGGTTTATTAGTATATTCCTGTTCCCTGCACATACAAAGTTTAAATAAGTTGGATTAAAAGGTTCTGTGTTGTTTTAACAGTAAATTTGCTTTCACTATATCTTCTACAGAGACACCTGATGCATCTCATGCCAGTCAAGGCACAACACACAGAGGAATGCAGCAATCAATTGAGGGGCTCTACCTTAGTGTGAGGCACCGGAAGCGAACCCTCTACCGTCAGAATGGTATAACTATATAATATAATAGGTTGATAAATTCAGGCTACTGTATGCATCTTACTCCACCAACATGAAATTAGCAAAGTAGCACAGTTCAGCTCAATCATTGAATTATGTTCTTTAAATGACAAGTCTGTAGGATTTAGTGGTATCCATCAGTGAGGTTTGACGATTGCAACCAGCTTCCCTCACCTCTATCTTTCCAAGCTACAGTAGCCGATGAGAAAATGTGAGAGGTACTATCTAAACCCAGTGTTTGCTTGCCTGTTGTGGGCTACTGTAGGAATGTGGACGTGCAACATAGTGGCCTCTGTGAAAGCGGAACGTATTTAGATACAAAACTGCCCATTGTAAATGTATTAATGCACAATTATTATTTTCATGCAATCATGAAAAGTGTGTGTGTGTTAATTATTCCAGCAAATAGATTGCCCCCAAAATTTTACACACTGAACAATTTGTTTCCCATGTCATTCTACATTATAATTTTCACACACTTCAATAACTGTAGCTCAATAACTTTAATTTTTTGGCGCTATATTTTTTTATTGTTGAAGAGTTCTGTCAAAAACGTCTGCCTCTGTACTTCATGTCTTTCTAGACAGCAGCAAGTTTCGCCATCGCCTTCGAAGGAAGCTGGCAGAAGACAAAAAACTCCTTCTTCAAGAGATACAGAAATACAATGATCTTGTACTAGAATCGGCAACAACCATTGACGTTGCTGTGGTGGAGCATTCCCTAACTGGAGAGAGCACTGTGTCTCAAATATGGCCGTGGGAGGTTCATGGCAGTGGTATGTCTGTTTTTAGATGCTTCTCAGGAATTTATTTACAGTTCTGCTTTATAGAGTATACTGAACTAAGGCATGCATCTTACATATTGAGTGTTGTAATATTAATTTAGTTTAAAGTCCCTGTAAAGTCAAAATTAAGTATGTGTTCTGAGTTTGTTACACCACAGAAAAATGTGTTATTAGCCATCCAGCCAAATTTGAATGATAAAAAAGCCGGCAAGTACATAAAATAAGCTATCAAAATCATGAAAAAATGAGCAGATTCTCTGCTCTCAAACGCTGGGGGCGTGTCCGCTGGCTGTGCTGAAACCACGCCCACTCACGGGAAAGCTGTCGACAGTGATATTAGCTGATTAGCTTTTGGAGACGGGAGGATGAACGCTGAGGCGGGAGATCGTCGTTTCGGCCCCGTTCACCAGTAACAGCGGATTATCAGTGAATCCCAGTTGTCTCTGAGGAAAGTTTATAAAACGATCCAGTGTAAAACGGTCACTACAAAGGCGGGTGTTGGCGGTGATCCTCAGCTCTTCATCAACAAGGTTGGCTCTCTTAAAAACCTCTTCTTGATGTGATCGTTTTTAGGGAATTTAAATGAAGATACCGATCTGTTTTGTACATGATCGCATCCAGGTAATAGCCTATGCATTTCTGTGTCAAATAGCTAGCTAGAAAACTGTAGGCTGTAGTAAATAATAGGACTGACAGTCACTCGTTATTGAGCGGTGAATGTGCTCTATTGTTAGGGGAGAGATCAGACTCTGTGCGTCATCAAATAGGGGCTTGTCCACGAGCTCATGGGCCCCAGTGTGTCATCGAGCCCTGTTTTAGCCCCGCCAAAACAATCCGTAAAATTGCAATGGTGAAAAACTGTTTAACGGTCTAACTCCACATTTCAGTACTTCACAGTTCACAGACTTTGTAAAATGTTTTAGCAATACATATGTAACATTTACAATGCGTTTAGAAATTTTTTGTAGAATTGCCTTTACAGGGACTTTAATGGTGTATTTTCAGTTTCCTTGTGTATAAATTTGATTTAAAAAAAAAATCAATGTTTGTAGTGATTATGCAAGATTGTCTCATGTATACATATAACTGTAATTGATTCTTAGCAAACATGTCAATGAAGAAACAAGTGCATGACCAAGTGATGTTAACAAGGCGACTGCATGAGGAAACAAGAGTTTTGGTGTTGGAGATGGCACAACACTGTACATGGTTGCAGAGCCTGGTAATGGTTCTCAAGAACAAATTGGCTGAGGAAGGTAAGCTAAATTAAAACACTGTCCATCTAATGTGAAAAAAACACTCATCAGTCTCAGTCACAGAACTTGGATGGAGTAGATTTGTTATTGCATTGCCGTATCCATTTGGCATCTACATAAAATAGGGATTCAACTTGTTACTGTAGCTATTGTAACAAGTCGGTAAGACTATAAAGATTCACATTTGCTTGAAAGATGTGCAGATTTGTTGTACTATGGCTGTTATTAGAAAGCTGAAATTAACAAAATAATTTTGAACATTGGACTTTGTGTCCTGATGTGTTACATAGGGTTAGCATAACATCAATATTATTATCTCCTCCAGTCAACATAGAAAACCTTGCTGGACAGCAAGTAACAATGTGTTAATTCAGCACACAACTGTAGTGAAGAAAGCTGTTTTAAGTTAACAGTTAACAAACATGGGCACAAACCTTTGGGCCTCCCTCCATAAAGTCACCTCAGTGAGCTATCATGTTGCCTCAAGTCGTTTTATACAGAAGCGAGCCTGGTCCCATGTCAGCGATTAACTCACATAAAAATGCCAACCATCCTGCTATGTAGATTTGAATAGGGGATATCTTTTTACTCCATTTAAGTTCTTTGGCCTAATGAAACAATCTTAGTATAGTTTGTCTTTAATGTAATCTATCTCTTTTGTATTTTGAGACGTAGACAAGGGAAATGAGGGACTTTGCTGTCTCTTAAGAAGAAGACTGGCAGAGGTGTCAGAAAGGTTCCAAGTTGTCCTCCAACAGTACAAGACTGCTTTAGGTCCTGAGGCTTCTGTCCTTCTACATGTTGAAGAGGAATGTCAAAGTGGCCTCAGTAGTCCAGACACCAGTGAGGATGAAGAGGAAAACACAATTTAGGTCATTTATTCATTAATATGTACATTTGTCTGTTTTTGGAATAACCCCGTTACTGTTTATAATAATTTATATTGTGTATTTCATTAATGCTTTACACACCTTATTTGTTCTAAAACAGCTGAAATTCACCCTCTTATTCTAATTCTTGCTTTTTTGTTTTTCTGTAATTCTCCAGATGGAAGCTGCACGAAGGACTGCGTTGAAGGAAATGGACTTGCCCTACAGACCTTATGCACCAGAGAAACGAGGGCGCCGCCATCTTTAGAATATTGTCTTTGAACTTTTGTTTTTGCGGTCGCTCTCTATATTTCTATGGCATCGATGTCGAGGAGTAATTAGCTGGTGAAGTGGATTTACTTGTAATTGTAGAGTTAACGAAAGTTATCATGAGCATTGGAATGTTTATCATAAGCATTGTAAAGCAGATGTCTTAACAAATGTCGAGCGGGAAATTTTTCAAACGAGCCGTTCATTCAAAACTGCAAGAATCGCTGTGAAAATACAGACCGGAAGTCAAAAGACAACGAGCGCAGTGCTGAAAAGGGACAGGGCTACATAAGGTCTATATCTGTGTATTATTTGTATGCTGTTTGATTAACCACAATAAAATCTGTGTGCATTCTATCTTGTGGAAAATTCAAACTGTGTCTTTAGATTACAATGCAATTTAGTAAGCACATTGCACATGCCATTGAAGATACACAAACCTGTCAGTATAGGAGCACCAATCTTAGCCAAAAATGTCAACTTGGCATGATATTACCAAATGTAATTACTGGGCTCACATGATATTTGGGAAGTGAATTCATACCCTTTTAAGAGAGACTCCCCTTGATTGTGGTGACCATGTGACATTTCCTCTTGCACCAATGTCAGGCCAAACTTTTGAATGTTATGAACCGATTTTTGTAATTTGCTGAGCAATGAATCATGTCTTTTTTTTTTGACCTCATGACGTTCCCTGTAGTAGCACAACCATTATACCAGAATGTAAAATTTGATTTGGTCTAATTTGGCAGATTGCCATGAAATCTTGTAAGCACATGATGACTTTGGTGACCTCATGACCATTCCTCTATCATTGCATAGGCCATAATTTAAAAACTCGTTCTTGATCACTTGCATTTTTTATGTTGTGATTATACTTTATATTGTATATTATTACAGTTGACAGATGACTTGATCTCTGTTCTGCTGGAGCTTTTCAAGTGAACTTATTCTCACAGTCCATTGTTTTAAAATACTGCCGTATGGCTTGTTTGAAAAAAATATGCATTTGGTGTATTTTCAGTGGTATTGTTGAGAAAGACAATTAATAAAATATTTTCAAAGATTACTTTTTACTACATTGTTATTGAAGAGCAATATTTGATATTTGTATGTTTAATAAAATCCAATGAACTTATAACTTAAATAACTTATTTATATGTGGAATCTTGTTTAATTTAATATCCCACTGTATCATTAATTCATTACTTTAATGCATGTCTTTTTTTTCTTATTTTCAAACCAAGCTTGCTTGTAAACAAGTAATATCTATTATATGTAAGGTGTATGTTACATTTTCCTCGATTGCTGAAACACTATAACTATGGTTTTGAACAAAAATGTAAAAACCATAACACTGTTTATAAAAAAGCACACACTTTTCCGCAAACAAAAAACACTTGCTCAGTTTTGACACATGCTAAACTTTACACACATCCCTTCATTTTTCATTGCCTACAATGTTGTAATTTAGAAAGGCTTGCATTCAGGACAGCTTCAGGTCAATTAGCACACAATCACCCAGGATCAGGAGGAAACACAAATAGTCAAAACTGATCACACAGCAATCGAAACCTTCAATAGATCGATGGAAGGGATAAGATGAGAGGGGAGGGGAGGGGAGGGGGGGGGAAGGGAAAGAGACAAGCAGTCTCAGATGAGATTTGTGCCACTTTTGACCATGTTCTTGTCCATGGTATGACTATGAGGGAGGCTGGGCTACGAGTACGGCCAAACTGGAGTCACTTCACCGTCACCTCAATCATAAAAACCTTCAGGGAGGAAAACAGGTACAGTAGTGAGCTTCAGACTGCTGTAGGATTAAAAAATAATCCAAGACATTTGAAATAGACATTACTGTGTTCCACCCTTTCTTTCAACCACAAGGACCATTTGGAGTTCCCAAAGACAGAGAGGGGCTGATAGTGATCAAGGCCTGAAGGCCAAGATTTGTGTACTTTGGGGGGTCAATGAATGTCACACCTCTATAACAATGGGGGAAGTGCAATTATCTGATTGGTGTGGTATTACAAATAGGTTTCCACTCCAATGGTATAAAAATTGATAAAGTTTATTAGATGATTATTGAGTCTCCAGCAAGAGTCTCCTTTCCTGATAGTCCTGTTTTCTCACATTTCAGCCTAGAGATTGAACTGTTTAGGTTGATTGGATTAGCTAGGGGAGACTTCCACCTTTTGTCTTTAATGGCTCTGGGATGGCTCTTTGGAACCAGAGTTCCTGGCCACTATCAGCATTTAAATAGTTATGCTGATTCAATTGGATTGGTAATGCCCTCAGAGTAGGGTGTGTTCCTATTTCATTTGCATGCTTTGTTTCAGAGTGACTCCACCCTATGTAAACTCCTCCCCTCTAAATGTATAAATTGCAAGGGAATCTTTCCCTTAGAGAGACGATGTTGAAATGACTGCAGCTACGAGCAATAAAGAACTTCTGCTTGGAAAACGTCCATTGTCTCCTGGTCTCCTCTGCTTCTAACATTTCGACAAGGAGAAAAGTTTCTAACATTGGTCAGTTTGAATGTCTTTGGGTTTTAGTCACATGGTCAGGGAAAGGATAAAAGAAGACTGTAACTGTTGCTCTGTCTCTCTGGCTGGGTAAGATTATCGGAATAAGTCATCATCTCATACATCTATTTTGTAACTATTTTAAGTGTAACCATAACCACATTTTGTCATTAAACCTTTTCAATTACAACTAATGTGCTAAATAGTTTTGATTTGGTATTGACTTTGAAGTGCTACCTATTGCAATGCAATACTGTCACTGTCTATAGCAACGCTCTCCCACATATTAAGCTATTGTAAATCCACTTATTTCCATTGTTGGTATAAGTGGCAGTGGGTGGAATAGACAAGAAATGTACAGTTTTACCATCTTGCTGATAACATTTCTTTAATCATTCAGCAGTCTTGCAGCCTGAACCCCTGCAAGAAATCAACCCTTACACTGCTCTCTTACTGTAACTTTTGACTCACAATAGAGACATGTACGGTAGCTGTTGCACTACTGTAATGAAAAGAAATGCATCAAATTCCCTCATACAGATAGAGTTTCTGTATGCTTTCATTTTCTAAAAAAGGATGCATTATAGTTACAGTAAAAAGTGCTTCTAGCCTTCTAGCGTAGTATTACACGATGGAATGGAAGAAGCCTGTCTGGACATTTCATTTCATGTGGATCAACACGGTTATTTTGCCTCAGGTTAATGTAATAAACTGTTGCTTGTCATCATCATTATGGCAAGGACAAACAATATCCCAATAATAAAGATTTCCAAAATCTGTGATATGCTCTCCAGATCAAGACATTCACAATAAATCAAAATGTTTTTTTTTTTTTTTTTTTTTTTTACTAATTTACTGACAAATTTACTGTTTTATTTTACTTTTTACTGACAAATACTGTTCAATTCTAGAAGCTAAAATCTGGTGATGCAGATAGGCTGTATCTTTATAATTAAATCTGTGTGTGTCATGGTGTGGGTTCATGTCTTGTGTCCCCCCCCCATTTTTGTGAATTTGGTTCAGTCCTGTTCCAGTTTTCCCGCCCCTTGCTTGTGTTCACGTTTACAACCTGTGTTGTTAATTTGGGTTGTGTGTCTTCTTGTCTGTCATGTGATTCCGTTTGCCATGTGTCTTTTTTTTTTTTTTTTTTTTTTTTTTTTGCCATGTGTCTTGTTTATTGGCTTCATGTACGGCAGTATTTCCGGTGAAGGTTTAATGATGCTCGATAACTTCCGCCGATCGTAGAGTCCAATGCAATACCCATAATATATATTGAATTTTATACTCCATGGTTATACTAACGAAACGTTAGTCACAAAAACATATAAAACAGACACACCTCGTCGTGTTTATGCTTCTTTTTTGAATTATATTAAATAAACATAACTATATATAAAATTACATCTAAAGGTATGAACGTTTAGTTTCAAAGACAGGAGGACAGTAAATTTTGAGGACTCTGCCATAATCCCACAACCGGAAGCTGTAGAGCATCCAGGATCCTTGCGTCAAATGCAGAACGTATGCGTGCATAAGCCCATTGATCATTGTTCTCAGGTGTTTCTTATTAGCCACGCCCCATTGTTATCTTGTTTGCCTGTGTATTTAAGCCCTGTGTTCAGTGAGTTCTTGTTGGTTGTTTTGTCCCCCGAGTCCTGTTTCCTGCACTGTTTGACGTTTAGTTATATAAACGTGCTGCATTTGGATCCTGCTTCATTTGGATCCTGCTTCTCCCTTGCTTCAACCACTTCATGACAGTGTGGTTGTGTCTGTTGTGTGTGTGTCTGTGAGAGATAATACAATCAAGATATGACATATGGAACAGGTACTTCACCCAACAAGCAGCTCCATACAGTTCCATTCACCATCTTTTTAAATACATAAAACCATTCATTTTATTTGGATAAATTGTTTTTTTTTGTTTTTTTTTTGATCAGATTTACCATTTGTTATTTGTTTGCGCTGGTCAATTATGAACAAAAAATTCAAAAATTAAAGATAATGTAATGAGTGAGTATAAAGAAGGTCAGTCACATTTTTTGGAACTTCATATTTATGCTTCATGTCAATCAAGCCATGAGGCTGTATTTCTTGACTGTGAGGTTAAGTGAACTTAAGCAAAGACAAAAGAACACGAAATCCAGCAAACCCTTTAAGATTAAACTCCAGGTCACATTCTTGGAGATTTTCACCTTTTCACTACAGAAAGATGAGATATGACTTCAAATGCAGCACAGAAACAATGTAATAAATAGGCTGAAACCAAAATGGAGTTCAAAACATACATTTTATTTATTTTCATTATTTCGGAGAGAATCCTTTGGCTGCCAGGAATTGGCCCACTGCTCACCACTAAAAACAGAAGGTATTTTTCTGTTACTGATTTTCCAATAAACTTGCATCATTACCGAACATGTCTTGGTAACACTTTATTTTGATAGTCCACTTTAGACATTCTACTAACTATAAGTAACTTTTCAACTACATGTTAACTAACTGTCATTAGA